CATTCCCTCACTCACCCATTCACTAATCCCCTCACCTGTCCATTCCCTCACTCACCCATTCACTAATTCCCTCACCTGTTCATCCCCTCACTCACCCGTTCACTAATCCCCTCACCTGTTCATCCCCTCACTCACCCATCCGTTAATCCCTTCACTCACCGTCCACCAACTCATCCACTCATTCATTCTCTCACCCATCCACTAACTCCTTCAGTCATTCCCTCCCTTCTTGCTCCCTCCAGCTCACCCACTCACACTCGCTGCTCACGGGTGCCGCTCCCCTGGGCAGGGCCAGGCTTGTCCCTACACACTGAGCTCCAGCCGTGAGACCCCCCATCACTCCTACATGGAGCTGGCACCTGACAAGTCCAGGAGGTCTGCCACGCTGGCTCAGCGCCCTTCCTTGCCAGGTGTGTAGGGGGACGGGGATTGAGAGGAGACAGACTCCAAGCTGGCCCTTTGAGGCACTGGACCCCCCAACGACTCCCAGAGCAGCTTGGGCCACATGGCAGATGACCTGGTCACTGTGGACCAGCTGTCACCGCCGTCTCCCATGGAAGAGCAGAGCAGTGCTAGTCAGAAGGCTCTCCTGCACCGGGCGTAGGGGTGGCTGATCCTGGCCAGGGTGGCAGAGTCACAGTCACTCTGCAAGTGAACAAGCCCATGCCCCACCTTGGCTGGCCTCCCCCGCTCCCTGTCCTGGAGCCCAAGTCGGGAAGGAAAGCAGGACACCAGAGAGAGGTCTTTCTCATGTGAGGCTGGATGGGTGTTGGGAGGTGGCTGTCTCAGAGAAGGGCCTCCCGCAGGGCAGGCAGAGGATGCTGGGGGAGGCAGAGGAGGACAGGCTCCTGCAGATGTGCGCGTGGCCTGTGTGTGTCCCAGGACCGCCTGTGTCTGTCAGTGAGTTCCAGTGTTTCGTGATAAGGAAGTGTCAAAGGGGCATCTCTTGAATTGTCTTCTCCGTCTTAGGTCTGGCTGCTTGAAAGGGACTGAGATACCCTACAGGAGTCAGAACTGGAGCCGGGTGCTGGCCCTGCCCTGGCCTCTCTCTGTGGAGGGCGAGGCTGCCTCACTCTCCCTTTGAGAGTGAACACAGAGGCCAGCATTACATCCTTCTCCCTGGGCCACCCTGGCCCCTCTCAAGTGATATTTGTTGAGCATCGGCTGGTGTGAGCCTTCATCCTAGGCCACAGGGACAGGGCAGTGGACGAAGCAAATTCTGCCTCGGAGCCCCCAAGGCCCACAACCATGGGGGCAGGAAGGACACAGCAGGCCAGGCTGTGCTTGGCCGCTGAGGGCCATGGGCCAGGGAGATGGCCCTGGGAACGCCATGCAGGCCGCGCCCTGCCTCAGAGGCCCTGTGGCAGGAGCACGCCCTCTCTGCTGGGGGACTCGTGGGGCCCCGAGAGGCCCAGGAGGAAGGACGGGGGCAGGCGGGAGGTCCCTGGACAGAAGCTAGGCTGGGTCCATGATGTGGGGTGGGGAGGGGGATGTGGGCAGAGGGCCGGGGGGTCCTCTGTGCCGCTGAGCCCCTGGCGTGATTGGGCATGGGTCTGTGTGAACGCGTGTCAAGATGCACCTCCACAGGGATGAGACGGCTGATGTGGTGACAGCCATGATCTGCAGGGGACAGCCACCTCCGGCCCTCGGGCTTCTAAGGAGCAGGTGTCCCTCTGGCCGGCAGGGCTGGCCCTGGATTTGGGTGATGCCTTGTTGGTGAAAGAACAGACTGTCAGGATGAGCCACCTGCTCCTGGAGGTGGAGCTGAGCTGGGTGGGGGCAGGAGGTGTCCGTGTGGGTCAGGGCGGGGTCACCTGGGTGGGAGGTCAAGTCCAAACCCGTCTTTCCCTGGGACTGCAGAGCAGTGAAGTCCAACAGAAAACGGCAGAGTTCTCCCCTGAAGTCTCCGCCCAGAGAGGGAGGGCATGGGGCTCTGGCTCCGCCATGCACAGCTGCTGGGCTCCAGGAGGGGCCAGGGCCTGCCTGGTCACCTGACCCGCCCCCTTCCCAGGGTCCCCAGGTGTGGAAGGGAGCCCGCTCTGAGCACAGGGCCAGCGTGGACGTCGCTGCTGTGGCACAAAGACCAGGTGGGGCTGCGAGGCCGACGCTGGCCCTGAGCCCTGCTGCCTGCCCTTCACGGCTGTTCGCCTCACCGGGACACGCTGCGTCGGCTTCTCTCCAGCCCCAGGAACCAGCCAAACCCACACTTGAGTGTGGTGCCACTACCTGTCTAGTGACTACTGGGGACAGACCGAGACCAGGCAGCTTTGGGAAACCGACTAGGACACCAAAGAAATTGCCCCTAGATGGCCAGGAAGTGCCACCCATGAGCTCGTGGGCCGAGTTCTCTTTGTGTCCCCCTCACTCCTGGAGCCCTGGGGCCCCCCACACGGCCTGCCTGGAGGCCTGCTCGCGCCTGGGATGCACAGCTCCCTGAGGCCTTACTTACCAGGTCCCAGTCGATGCTGCGGAAGAAGGCGTGGGACTTGATGTCCGAAAAGCCAGTCTGTGGCCGGCAGCCGAGCCTCTCCTTGGGGTCCTGGGGTTAGGGTTCAAACCAGGGCCCGTCAGCCTCCCAAGACAGGCCCACACTCAAGAGGAGACCCCGCCACCCCCAATGGAACTGCTCTGCGGGGCCCCGCGAGTCCCGAGTTTTACTGGAATTCCCTCCCAGACGGGCTGGGCTGCTCTGCCCTCTCCTCCTGGGCACGATGCCCACTCTGTAGGCCCAACGAGGGCAGGGCTCCCACGTCCCAGGACCCAGAGCCCTCGACGGAGGCCCCTGGACAGGCGTGGGGCCAGGCGCGTACCTTGTTTAGGAATCCTTTCAAGACGTGGGAGGCTTTGACGGAGAGGAACCGGGGGATGCGGATCGGCTTCTCCAGGATAACTGCCAGGAGGGAGCAGGGAAGGGCCTCGCTGAGCCAGCTCTGCCCAGCACTTGCGCCTAAGCCCACTTCTGAACAGGGCCTCTGGGTGCCCTGCCAGGCCCCCCCCCCCGTCCTACCCTGCAGGAGGGCTCCACAGGCTGCCAACCAACTGCTCCCCACACTCAGCCCTGCCTCAGGCGCACGGCAGCCTCAGCACACTGGCCAGCAGAGGGCGCCGAGGGACAGCCTGGCCCCTGGCCCTGCAGTCCTGGCACAGGGGCCTGGACAGGGCAGGTGTCAGGGCTTCCAGGTGACAAGGGCCGGGGCACTGTCCAGGCCTCCAGGTGTGCCTGGCCTGGGCAGAAGGGGGTTTGGGCTAAGTCAGGGTTCTCTTTTCAGGTCACCCATGGTGACGGGAAGTGCATCACCACCACATGGCCATTCCCTGACTCAGAGCCTGCGAGCCACGTGTGGGAACGAGGCTGGCCAGAGGGAGGGTGGCCAGGAGGAAGCCCGGAGCACCCGGGCCACGCACCTTGGAAAAGGTAGTCCTCTGTGTTCATGTCAGGGTTGTCGGTGATGATGTCGAAGGGGGAGCGCCCGGCCATCATCTCGAACATGAGGACGCCCAGCGCCCACCAGTCCACGCTGAACCCTGGGGAGAGCCGTCTTTGGTTTGCTTGACAGGCTCAGCCAACACAAATGGGGACGCTTCCAAGCTGGCGCAGCCTCGACCGAGGGAGCCCGCATCCTCCTCGGCGGCTCCCGCCACCCACTGTCCTGGGCCTGTCTCCCCGGAGCTGCAGGACTGTTTGCAAGTTGAGCGGTCACCCTCGGCCCACACTGTGGCTCCCTGGTGGCCACCTGGGCCTTCAGTTCTGCTCGGGCGTCCTTGATACGCTGCCCACCTAGTCGTCCTCCCTTTTCTGGGGGCTGAACCAAGGAGGGGGTCTCACCACCGAGCGCGTCCCGTCCTTTCAACCTTTTATTTTGAGACAGGACCTCACTCGGCTGCCCAGACTGGCTGGGAACTTACGATCCTCCTGCATCAGCCTCCCAGGTCGCGGGGATCACAGGCGTGGCCACCACTCGGGGCCAGTCTATTTCTTGTTTCTGCTTTTGTTTAACCGAGTTTGGAAAGCCCCCGCGACAGCACAACGCTCCCGTGACCCCTGCTACGTCCACTCTCCGGCCTCCTGACGTTCAGGTGGTCGGTCGGGTACTGTCTTAGCGCACGGGGAGCCTTGGATTCTGCCTAAGGACAGCAGCTGCCACCACAGTCCAGCTGGCCGCCTGCCCTAACAAAGTCAAGACCCTGCCCGCCGTGTGCAGGGCCCGGCCCAGCCCACTCGAGACTGTTTTAGTCCACTGCCTGTCTGGTCTTCCTGCTCTGGCCACTGAGCAGCTTCGGGGGCCCAGTTGGTCTCCTGGCACACTGGTGTGCACACGCAGCACGCCCTCCACACACAGGTGAACGTGGGTGCACATGACGTCCCGCTGCCGCCTCCTACCCAGAGCAGGACGGGAGCAGAGGCTTCCCGGGGACACCTCTTCCCCTGCACCTGGGGTGGTGCCCACCGACACAGGGCACCTGCCCTGACCCCTGCCTGTCCTTGCCTCCTCATCCTCTCCCTGCCCCAGCCTCGGGGCCCTTGGATAAGGAAAGTCCTTGCAGGGCCCTCAGGGACCAGCTCTGGACACCAGGAGGTCTCTGCAAGGGCTGGCAGGCCAGGCAGGTGACCACCTTGCCAGGACACGCGGGTGCGAGATGGCCAACCGAGCCTCTCCCTGGTGGCTAGGCAGGCCTTGCCCTGGACCCTGGGGGCTGGCCCAGCTGCCCCGCCTCCCTCTCTGCTCGAGGGCAGAGGCCTGGCCACGTCTGCTCCCGTGTGGCACCCACTCACCGTACTCCTCTCCCCGCAGGATTTCCGGGGCGATGTAATTTGGGGTTCCGCAGAAAGTGCTGGTGGTGTCCCCAGGGCCCAGGCCTTCCTGTGGGGACAGATTCAAGGAGGGGACTGTACACGGGCTACAGGTGGAAGGGCACCTTGGAGCCCCACCATCGAGCTGTGTCCAGGTGGTGGGCATTTCTTGGGGCACCAGGGGCAGGGCAGGCCGAGGTGCCGTCCCCCTGGACCACAGGAAGGTGGGGGACCTGGTGCCAGGGAAGGGCAGCTGCTCACCTTGCACATGCCGTAGTCTGTCAGCTTGATGTGTCCATCAGCGTCCAGAAGCACATTGTCCAGCTTCAGGTCCCGGTAGATGATCCCTCTCTCATGCAAGAAGTTGAGAGCAATGCAGATCTCAGCCGCGTAGAACCTGGGGGGCACCTGCCGTCAGCAGCGGAGGGCGGCCGTGCAGAGGTCCAGCCGGAGGCCGCACTGCCTGACCCAGCTCCTGGCCACTGGCTGCGTCTTCTGTGTGACGAGCCAATGAGTGGCCCCCAAGACCCGGAGGGCACCCAGCACCACTGGACGCGAGGGGAATGCAAGTCCAAGGCACACACAGGCCCCTCTGCCACTGGGTGGCCACAACGACAGCACAAAATGGCCAGAAACCGCCCGCGGCGAGTGTGGGGAAACCGACCCCACGCCCTCTGCGGTGCGGCCACTGTGCACAGCAGGAGGGACGGCCCTGGAGCATGAGGACAGAACTCCACGTGACCGGGCCCTTCCCCTCGGGAGTGGAGGCCCAGAGTCCAGAGCAGGGCCTCAGCACCGCCCACCAGCGCAAAGCGGCTTTCTTCCCAGCAACTGAAGCGCAGGGTGACCTGAGTCCAGGACGTGTGAGTGGAAGGAGGAGGCCAAGCCTGCCCACTGCGTGGCCTTTAGAAGGACATCGCAACCCCGTGGCAACAGAGCAGGATGAAGTCACCATGCTGAGCCGCGAGGGGACACAGGCCAGCGCACCATGAGGAGCTCCTCTCAGAGGGTGGAGGCGGTGTCCACTGACTCGGGGACGGAGCTGTGGCCTGGGAGGTGGTGGCAGGACGGCCACACGGCAGCGTGAAAGCACACAATGCCACCACACTCGCGCTGGGAAGCGGGCCGTGTGCACACGCCGCCACAGGCTCCACGTCCCCAGAGGGTCCTGGGGACTCAGAACTGCAGGGCGGGTAGGGGATGGAGGAGGAGGCTGCTGGGGGAGGCTGCTGGGGGCCGCGCTGCCAGAGGCTGGCAGAGGCTTGTGGGCAGGCACCAGTGCCACGAGAAGGGGCAGGTGTCCCTCGGTCGTTTTCAAAGGACACGCAGACGGCTCTTCCCGGCACGCTCTGCCACTGGGCAGTCTGATGTCGGAGCCCACGGCTCCCAGGCGGGGCCTTGTGACACCAGGGCCACCTCCCGGAGGATGGCTGCCCCACAGCAGTGTCCACTCTGCCCTTCCCCCCGGCTCCTGCCGACTCCTGAGGAGGTCCTCTGCCTGCCCGGCCCGGGACCCACCTGGCGTGTTCCTCCGGGAGCTTCCTCTGTCTCTGCATGTGGAACATGAGGTCCCCACCGTTGACGTACTCTATGACCAGGAACAACCTGCGCAGGAGACAAGGGGCCGGGCTCACGTCCCTCGGCAGCACCTGCGGCCTCACCTCGGGCAGAGCAGCTGAGCGCTGCCCGGGAGTGGCAGCCTCCGTGGCGGCCACTGGTGTTTGGAACTGGGGATGCCCTGCCACCAAGCTGCATCCCAGTCCTGTGACGTTCTATTTGAGACGCCATCTCTCCAGTTGCCCAGGATGCCAGGATCAAAGGTGTGAGGCCCCCGAGCCACAGGGATTGCAGGGGCCGGCCACGGTGCCTGCAGGAGCTTGACCTTCAATGGCAGACAGAGCTGCCTTTGGCTGCTGGCCTGTAGCCTTTCATGTCCAGCTCCTCCCAGGTGGCCCAAAGAGGAGGAAACCAGGGACCCGGGTGGCTCCTGGGACCGGCAGGGACAGCTCAGACAGAAGGCGGCTGAGGCCAGCTCTGTGCCTGGGCTGGTGGGTGTGGCTCTGGCTCTCCCCACATCTAAGATCAACCCAGGGGCAGACGCAGCTCAGGGCGCCAGGACGAGGATGAGCAAAGAAGGACCGGTAAGCAGCTGTATCCTCCTGATCTGCCCTCCAGGGGTAGAGGCCTGAGGCCTGCTAGGTGGGGACCGTGTGGAGAGGTGACCTCTGCCAAGGCGTGGAGGCCTGGACAGGGCGCGGGGAAGGGGAGGCAGAGCTGCAAGACCACCTGGAGCCGAGCCGGGTGAGGGGCCTCGCGGGGACTCCATGGTCTGCTGCCTCGTCTGAAGGCATTCCTGGGAGGGAGGCCAGGAGCCACAGAGGGCCAGCAGGGGTGGTCTGGACCAGGGACGCGGGCGGCAGGAAGGGGTGGGCACAGCTGACCAGACCTGCCAACCTCCAGGAAAGACAGGAAAGGGTGGGACTCTGGGTTGTAGCCTGGCCTGCAGGACTCAGATGTTCCAGTGTGGGGACAACACAAAGTCCCAGAGAGGAGTGGCCACGATGCGTCTGAGAGGCCACCAGCCCTCCAGGCCGACAGGTAGGAAGGACGGCCACTGAGGTGACCATGAGTTCAGGGACCTCGACTGCACAGGTCCCTCCAGTCTCCAAAGCCCTGGCCAGAGATGGGCTTCCTCTTACTGGGAAGACCCGCCCGCACGTGGTGAGACCACTTCAGGGAAACCAGACTCCAGCCCGGCTTTCAGACACGCCCTGCGGGGCACAGGGTGGATGTACGTCCTCGGCTGCCCGGGAGCCCAGGCTGTTGGCCCCAGGGCACTGGCTGCTCCCTGGCCCGGGGTCTGGACAGCAAGGAGGGATGAGCAAGTCCACTTCTTCCTGCAGGGCTGGCACAGCCGAATACCCTTCCTGGCAGCCGTGTCCATCCTGCGCCTGCCCTGGGCTCCAGGAGAACTGGCCGCAGACCACCTAACCAGGCCCCGTGACAGCGGACACCGGAAACAACAGCTGCACACGCAGAAATCCGACGGGCGGAGCCGGGACGGGGCAGTCTGTGTGGGGCTGGGCAGGCCTTCCTTCCTGCCCGAGGGACGCGCTAGGGACACCACCTGCCTTCACTGCCCCTGGGCTTGCTGGTCCTCTGCCGCTCGCTATGAGAAGACACAACGGACACAGCCACAGAGCCACAGGCACGGTCCTGCCTGGGGCCCAGGCACATCCCAGGACCCGACCCCACCTGGAGGGAGCTCGAGCAACCCCCACTCTTCAGTCACCCCTGGATCCCACCATGGCTGGCACAACACCACGCTGCATGCTCAGCTGTCAGGCTGGATGGTCCAGAGAAGAACGGCACCCGCTGCCCTCGGCCCAGCCCAGTGTCTGCACGTCTGCCTACAGCTGCAGCAGGAAGGCCCGGGGCACGGAGCGGGAGCAGCCACGCGTCACTGTCACTACATGACGACTCACACCCCCAGCGCTTTCTAGAATTTCTTTTTAAAATTTATACATATTTTTAGTTGTTGGTGGACCTTTATTTGATGTGTTTATTTCTATGTGGTGCTGAGAACTGGACCTAGTGCCTCACATATATGAGGCAAGGCTCCACCACTGAGCCACACCCCCAGCCCTGCTTTTAAAAAATTTTTGAGATGGGGTCTTCCTAGGTGGCTAGGGCCACTATACATGCTGAGGCTGGCTTTGAACTCACAATCCTCCCGCCTTAGCCTCCCGAGCTGCTGGGATGACAGGTGTGGCCAGCACGCCGGGCTGCTTCACGGCGCCCACACACTGGTGAAATCTCCCAGTGACGCGATTCTCTGCACACCGCCCCGTGGTGGAGAGATGCATGAGGACATCAACCTCCTACATGTTACCGAGTCTGCCTACCCCTAAGTGGTGACAATGAAGACCACAGCTGTCACGTCCTTGCCGTCTGCATTTTAGCTCATCTACTCCCAGACCTCCAGGGGGACTTCAGCACCTGCCCTGTTTTACAGACGGGACAAACAAGGGACAAGAGGGGAAGTGCCCAGGCCACATCACCATGGCAACGAGCCCTGCCCCAGACAGCCTGGGTGAGCCCACCCCCGGCCATGCCTTGCAGGGTGGCCAAGTGACGGCAGAGCCAGGAAGGGGTCAGCCCGAGAGTCCAAGGCCCAGAGCCCGCGGCCCTCAGGGGACAGCCTGGGCACCGATGCCCTGTCACACCAACAAGACGGGGACAACAACCAGCAACAGGGACGGGCCAGGGGAAGACCCGGAGGCGGTGCTGCCGGGGCAGGTCCAGGGTGGCATTTGCAGGTGGGAGGGGAGCGGGCAGCCTCAGCTGTCCTTGAGGATGGACTCAGAGTTGCAGGCGCTGGGGCAGGGTGCTCCGGGAGAGTCACAGCGCACAGGCCCCACTTCCCAGGTCAGGAGACAGAGCCCCCAGAGGGGTCAGAGGGCGCCCCCACGGGCTGGACACAAGGGGGACACCCTGGGCCAGCAGCCTCAGGGCACCCTGAGAGAGGATGGCAGGGGTGGCTGGCCCAGCAAGTGAGAGGCCCTGGGTCTGACCCCAGCAACACGCACACACACAGAAGGGGCTGGGCGTGGTGGTGCACCCCTGGCCCCAGCGATTGGAGGCCGAGGTACAAGGATCAAGTGTGGGGCCAGCCTCAGCCACGTAGCGAGATTCTGCCTCAAAATTAAAAACAAACGTACACCAAAGGACTGGGTGCTGCTGGGCAGTCGAGTGCCCTGGGTCCAGTCCCCTGTCCACCTGAGCAAGGAAGAGGGAGGGAAGAGGGAGGGAGGGAGAGGAGTGAACGTCCTGAACAACAGGACTGCTTCTGCCAGGCGTCAGGACTGCTTCTGCCAGGCGTCAGCCCTCTTCTCACCCCACGCTGCCTCCCAGTCCTTCTAGAACCTTCTCCCAGCACAGAAACTTCAAGTTGCTTGGGGTCCTTTGCTAGTGGAAGGGACACCAGATGGGCGGGTCCAGGAACTGGGGAGACAGATCCTTTCTCCAGCAGCGGGGCAGGGGCAGCCCCTCCAGGCCTGGCAGAGCCCTCAGCGCCCCAACCCCCACCCTGCCCTGGACCAGCACCGCTGGGCGGGGCCCCCTTCCCATGTGGGCGTGACCCCCACAGAGCAGAGGTGGAGGAAGGCTGGACTTGGGTCCTGCCATCAGGGCTCCTGCTTCTCAGGCCTCTAAACCACACCGTGAGCCTCCCCAGCCTCCGTGGTCTCACGGCCAACGCTTTACGGTAAAGCTGTCCTCTCTCTCACACACCGCTGCCTCTCTGGGAACCCGCGGACTGAGTCTCTTCGGGCACTGGGGGTTTTGGCACGTCTTGGGGGAGGGTTCCATGGCCGGCCCTTGGTAAAGCCCTGAGCCACCCAGCTCACTGCGGGAGCCTGGGGAGGCCGTGCCTCTCTTCCTCCAGAACCTGGAGGCCTGTTCTTTGGCCAGTCTTCCCTTATAGTTTTGGTGCAATAAATCACAGCACGGCACCCCGAGGTGGTCTTGGGCACGCGACAGAAGTTTTCAAACAGACACACCGAGTCCCCGTCGGCGGTGCCCGCATTCTAAACAGAGCACACACTCAGTGGAGACCACGAGCCTTCAGGCATCTGAAAGCAGAATCCCAGACAGCACAGAGCTCGTGAGCAAGGCTGTGGGTGCTCACTGAGCGCCCTCCATCAGCCAGAGGCTCCTGCAGAGGAGACCTCCAACCCCCTGCACCCAGCACCCGGCCTGATGGTGTGCACTGTGGGGCGCTTCCTGCACGTTGCACCGTTCAGGCTCGACTGTGGAACCTCAACAAGGAGAACACAAAGCCAGCCTGAGGACCCAGATGCCCTGCCCTGGCCACTGGCAGAAGGCGGAGGACACTGACACCTCGGCTGGACTCGGCTCCCACGAGGCTCGAGTGGAAAGTCAGTGGACTCTCCAGGACACCTTTTCCCTTACCTGCTGGTTGTCTGGAAGCAGGAGTGTAAGCCGACGAGGAAGGGGTTGCTGGATGCCTGCTCAAACACGTGCTTCTCTGTCTGCACCCAGTCGATATCCTGAAATAGAAACCAGGGGGTGCTAATGAGGCTCCTCAACACCCATCACCCACGTCCTGCAGAAGGCGGAGGCAAAGCAAAGCCCTCTGTTCTCTGCTCTTGAGAAGATAATGCATAGAAGAAAAGAACACACCCACCAAAGAAATACGTCACCAACACAGTCACCACCCACCCCACCATCATTACTGTGATACCACCAACCCTCGTTGTCATCACTATCAACCATTAGCATATACCCATCCCCAGCTCACCACCACCACCACCACCACCATCACCACCACCACCATCACCAATCACCATCACCATCACCAATCACCCATCACCCATCACCAATCACCAATCACCCCACCATCACATATCACCCCACCATCACCAATCACCACCATCATTAATCACCACCACCATCACCAATCACCACCATCACCAATCACCCCACCATCACCAATCACCACCACCATCACCA